CTCCACCTTGAGTCGCAAACAGGGATGTTTGAGGATGGCTGGCTCCATTTATTTGACCTAGTCTGAACAAATCCAAAGAAATTCAGAACAAACTCAAACAGCAAAGACACATGACAATCCGGAGGATTTTCTCTAATTATATTTTTAAATATTCAGTCCTGCTTACCTCCAGAGTTGTCACTCAGTGAGATGCTGATTGACGCGTTTGATTTTAGTCCTTTGAGGTATTGAGTCTGTGCCTTTGTTTTCTGGTCACCCATATACAGCAGTCCCTGCTATGACCTCCACTGGATAAGTCTTCAAGGTTTTCCAGCTCCGTGAGACAAACCCAGAAAATATATTAAACTGTATTTTATCTTGCCAGCAGTTTGAATCAACCTGATATTTTAGGGAAAAAAATAATTTCTAATGATTAGGGATTCATAAGTGCAGGCCTGGCTTACATAACCTGGAAAAAAAAAATGAGACGAATGTCCTGGGGGCTCTCAAAAATCTCATCTTAATACTGTGTGTTACTTGCATTGATATTTATTTATTGAATATTATGCACAGACCAAATGTATTGTATTCGTTGTACCCTAGAGTTTATATCAGTGATGCGCAGATTCCTAATCTTATTACTTTGATTTGTACCACTAGGATGGAATTGACATGGTGCCTTCACAGACTTAATTATGAACGTGTATTGACGCCTCCAGGTTCAGCTGTGGTCTGTCTTACTGTGATGTGTACATAATTTTTTTCCTCAGTCCTTAAGAAAGGGTAGAGCGCTGAGACTCTGAAGCCTTCTCTTCACAATTGTGGACTGGATACAAGGCTAAGCTTTTAGCCAGCACTCGGCACATTCAACTTGCTCTCCTGCAATCACAGTCAGACCCAAGTGATAAACATCAGTGTGTTGATATTTGTGCTGACAGAATGGGAGCCGTTTGCCTTTGGGAACTAGGTTTTCAGAGCAGGAAAACTGTTGTAATACAGAAAAGTACTTTGTTACATACAGAATAAAACAAGAACTTTGGCCTTGGCCTACACACCAAATTATGTTGCCCATTATGACTGTAAAATCACATTTTCATATACTCTCAGAGATGCCTTTGGTGGAACATTTCCCAGTGCGACACCGTACCTTGCTTCCTGGCAAACAGCTGGTTGCTATTCAATAGACCACCATGTGCTGCATTACGTCAACCTTCCACAGCCACTGGAAGAGGAATTTGTTCTGAATCCTGGAAAGAGTCACCCAGAAAGTTTGGGATATTTTGAGCACAAAATAATCTGAGGAAAGAGGATTAGGAACAAAGAAACTAAGCTGTTATGAAGGTTGTCCTTTTCATTTTTAAACACTTACATCCTCTAACCACAAATAACAAAGCGCAAAGTGTATCCCTTTCCTTAATATATCACACCTTTCACAGAGCAAAACTACTCTAATAAACTATAATTTTAGCTACTCCATCTTCTTTTGCGAACAGATACAGTCTTTAACATTTCATTACCATTTGCCACCAAAGTCGGAACTCGAGGATGTAGAGTGTGTGACCTTTAGAAAGTAGTTCAATGAACAGTTAAGCACTCTCAATAGTGCACATAAATCAACATACACTGATCTGTAGTCCCTCCTAGTTCTTTTTAATATAATCAATAAATAACCCTAAATCCTTAACAAAATCACAACCTGAGTTCAGATGTTAGAGTCATAATCTTCTTCAAATGAAGAACAGAAATCATTGAGACACTTCCCAATTTTGAGAGGGGGGGGTCTCCTCAAAACACTCAAAGAACAACCCAAAACGGCACATAACAGTCTAGGTCAATTTAAACAATTTTTTTTTTTTTTTTTTTTTTACAACAGTTAGTTTTCCTACCAAGTAATTTTGACTGGCGAGAGGCATTCCATGAGTGCTGATTCTAGAGTACAACAGCACTGGGACTCTTAACTAACATGTATCATCCCGCCTCACAGGTGTTTCCATCAACCGTTAATTAGGGTTACATTCACAGTCGTTATCTATCTTAAAGTTATAGCAACTTTGCAAAGATGGAATATATTTCTATGAAACAACATTTGTGAATAAACTGATGTAATGAATCGTTAGTAAGGATGAAGGACGAAGCCTGGATTAACTCAGCGCACTCCTGAGGTAGACGTGTAACCAAAGTGGCTAGCTAGTGTACACTGTGCAGGCCAGGAAATATTTCTGTTGCTGCTTAGCAACAGTCCAGTACCAGTCCACGCTGCGAACTATTTCGTTGTTGGCGTTGCCAAATAAAATGTTAATATAAAACAAACAAATCTTATATAACTAACTAATGTGGCGCTCGTAGAACGGTGATAAAACCAATATCACACTCGAGGTGCTGATTTCTAATGGAATCAATCACGCGCCAGTGATCCGGAGGCCGCATGCGAGGTACCGTAGACAATCACAGCCGTGCTGATAATCAGTAGCTACAACATTCACTCAGCTCTCGTGTGATATTCTTAATTTATCTGAAGTCTATGTCTTTTTTAACTGCAACAGTCCTTTGATCCTGTCCATCCCCTCATCCCAAAGCTCATCCGTATATCTCAGAACAACCAATAACTTTTCCAATCTTCCTGAGAGGTGGGCTGCTATAACGTATCTACGAATCAGTGTTGGTAATTAGATACCACCTGTTTGCTCCTTTAATTGCATAATGAGTAAGGAA